ACCAAAGCTACATGTACATGGCCACAATTTAGATGTTTTCTAGGCATATTGAGCTAAAACTTGGTGCAGTGGAATTGTTGGTTTATATTAATTCAGTGATTTAGAAAATGTTTTTTTTCTTCACAAACTGATAGGATAATTGCTGCACACCATATTTATATTTACTCTGATTTTGCTCTAACTGACCATCTTTTATTGCCACATGCAATCCCCCAGACCCACTTGTCAATCATCGGTGGTGGCACCCCCTCTGTCTCCGCCTCTGGTGGTATCACACTAAATTTGAAGTTTTTAGTATAAATGTTCTGAATGTTTTGAAATTAATCTTATTTTTAAAAAATGCTTAAAATTCTTGAACAGTTTATTCTGCAAAATGCATACATTTTTATATTCTGTAACCCAGTGTGTCTCTAAATACAATAAAACTTGTGGTTTCGTCTCAACTACCTCCAGAGTGTAAAGTGCACACATCCAAAATCTCATTGACTTCCACTGTATCTGCACACAGAGGTTTTCTCTTCAAAACTGGAAGCATAGTGACAATTTAACTTGTTATATTTCTTAAATAAAACTTTAGACGTTTAAAAAAATTGACAACTGGAATGGCCAAATAAAGTTTAATAATGTTTTCAAAACCACTTTTTGCTCTGCATATCTGTCTGACGGTTTTATTACTGTCATGAAGTGACAGACCTATAAATCTGGTTACCACTCCCTGGTTCAGACCTGGGCTCTTTCTGTGGAGTTTGCATGTTCCTGTGGGTTTTGTCCCATAGTCTAAAAACCTGCATGTTAGGTTGCCTTAAGGCCATCCTTGCAAAAGAGATCTGTGAACTCTGTGGGATTTCCCTGGTTAGACAAATGTAAATAAAATAAAATAATACCATAGTGACCTAAATGAACCACTGTCAGCAGCTTTAGATTTGAATTTTATTTTAGTTCTTTTTACACTTGTTTTACAGTTTACATTTAAAGTATTCCCTTTTTATGCAGGGAAATAATTTTATTGCCCATCACTAAAACGTGGGTAAAAAATGTTTCTGTCCACAATGTCCTGATGCGTCTCAGTAGTGCAGGTAAAAAATGAAAAAGAAAAAAATTGTATAAGTCTTCTGGACGGGTTCTTCTCTAATGAAACGTTTCGGCTCTCCTCCAAGAGACTTCTTCAGTCTGAGAGTTTCAGGCAAAATTCAGGCTTTTAAGCCCTGCCTCCATGTGACTGATACTCACGTCACAATGTCCACAATGTGCAAGTTTATGTGTGTGTTTTGATACTCATTTAAACTCAACTCTGTTATGAAAACGTCTCATAAATCACTGGATGGACTTAAATAAAACTGTCAGGAAATAATCATTTGTTGTACCTCTAGAAGGCATTTTATGTCGATTTAGTCTAAGACAGCACAACCAACTGTCCTCAGCAACACACAAAAAGGTTTCAGGTAGTTTAGGCATTTTTACAGATATTTGTTGTATTAATAATTTACAGATATTGTCATAAAAATAAGTTGCAACTGTAACCGAGTAATTCACATAAACCAAGTGCCACTCATTATGCCACAACTTAGCTTAAAGCATTTGCATCAACAATTATCGTAGATACAATCTTGTTTTTCTGTTAGCAAGTTATCTCATCAAACACTAAACAAATTTCATGAAACTTTCAGAAAGTCATTTTTAGACATCTACATTTTAACTTCTGTCAATTTGATTCCAAATGGCTGCCACAGTTAATCAACATTACCTAACAATGACAGGGCTATGCCTCAGTCTATTTTAACAGATATTGCATTAAAATTTGACATGGAAATAGTTGAGTTATGCAGAAGACAAAGTCTGAACATATCTTTCAATACTGTTTTAGATTGCATGACATTATTTTCAAGGTTTGACCAAAATGACTACATGGCCATCATTCTTCAGCATAAGATGGTGTTAGTATAAAACAGACATGAAAGCTGGTGAGTACTGGAATGATAGGCATTCACCAAAGGAAGGTCCAAGTTAATATGACTTCACAGGAGAAAGTTGTACTTTGGCCTGTAAGTGCATTGAAACCCTTTCTATAAAGCTATCATCTTTTTAGCAGATTTATAGAAGAATAGAATAGAATAGAATAGAATAGAATAGAATAGAATAGAATAGAATAGAATAGAATAGAAACAGCCTTTATTTTCTCATGCAGGGAAATTCAGGTGTAGCAGCAGCAGGATACATCAATCCACAAAACAGCATTTTGCTATGTGACGATATCAATTGTAGCAAAAAATAACAGAATTAAAGATAGTAACAATAAAAAAACTAGAACTGCAAAGCAGTTATGACTGGGGTCCAAGCCCTTTTATGCATGTCAGCCTTTGTCATGTTGTTTGTAGCATATTGTTGATCTTTTAGCTT